AAAACTAGAGTACATAAATCAACCGTTTAAAAGTCACGAGAACTTCGGGGTCAAAGTATTCCCCATAGTCCGATGGCTTTGAACTCTCTCTTCGGTTCGGCCCAAGCTCGGGGCCGACTGGGAACCTAGCCGGGGAGGATCGAGCCCGTCATGCACACCCATATTTAGGCGCAAACACGTACGTATAATAACTTTTGGTAATTCCGTCTGAAGAGTTGAAAAGCCATCATAAGTGAAGGGATGACGTGCGCGGGAATTTCATAGGATCAAAAGTATCATGAGTCCGCAGGAGGAGGAGGTGTGCATGCGTGCGTATGCCAGTGAAGGAGCCGCAGCTGAAACTCCCATTGGAAGACAGTCAGCTAGAAGCAATGATGAGAGCTAAGGTTCCATGTGTGAACCATTCATCTATAAGAAAAAGAGAGAAGAGAGAATTTGAGTCGTTGCGTTGTGGTCTTATGGTGTAATTGTAGCAACTTACAAAACCGAACGGGATAAGATCGTGAAGAGCATCAACCACCAGTACAAGTCATTTAGACTTAGTCCCTTGATTTTATACGAGTGAATGAGACCACATGAGTAACACGTTTCAGTCTTTAATGTTGTCTCCGAGTACCTGGACATACGATTCCGCCACTCCGGATACATCGAATGCAAGACAGGCCATGCGCCGGAGCAATCAAACCACGCCAACGTGAGCGCTTTGTCCGCGAAACCAACAACTCAGCCACCTCCGCATCTGCCATCTTCAAAACATGCAGCAGCTGCAAGATTTGTTTCCTCAAACTCTGCTAAGAGAGGGAACGAACAGGCAAAAATAAAAAGCCCTCTCTGCTTGGCGTTTGGGACGAGGTCCATGAGTTCCTACTAGTCCCATGAACCCCATTGCGGAGTAGGGCAACATGAGCCTGCCGAAAGCGACGGGACAGCGCAAGTAGTCAGCCCACTCACAGACTACCTTACGTTTACCCAAAGCTCACGATCGCCAAGGACGCAGACCAAGCCCGGGGGAAACGGCAACGTGTCTGGGGCTGAAGCTCTTGCGACCGGGCCAAGGCTCATGTTTCCACCGTGGTCGAAAGTTCGCCTCTACCGTTGAAGCCTCCACCATGTGTGTGGCTTGTACGCTCAACTTTCCGTGTCTGCTTCGTCACCTCTTCAGAGTATGTCTTGTACGTGTACGTAGTGTACAGTGTGTTCTCCCTGACGTAGACTATGTGAGCTTCAACCTTTCAACCTGCACGATTCGGTCTTGTCCGTTTCCATGAACGCTACTTAGGGCTGAGAAAGCTTGTGAGGGCGTTTGCGCCGGGGTCTTGTCGTCCGTGAATCTGGACCAGGTCGATGGGTGGCAGTGGTTGTGATTTGCTTGTCTAGTTCTGCATCTCTATATAGCTGACCCTTGTGGCATTCAGGGAAGGGCCAAGGACACTAAATTTCTTGTCTTGTTTTGAATTACTCTTACTATACCCTGATCAGTATTTTGTTCTTGTGAGGAAAGCAACATGTGCGGAATTACGGCGGCTATCACGCTCCAGCGGAGCGATTCCGCCAGCAGAAACGGTGACATCAATGGAACGAACGGAGTCAAGAGCAAAGCAGATAAAATTTCGGAGCATGGCACCCTGCGTCAACAGTTTCAACAGAGTCTTGAGGCCATCGCTCACCGCGGCCCGGATGCCTCTGGTGTCTGGATCAGTGATGATGCTACAGTCGGTATGAAATTCCCCTTGGTAGGCATGTTTCGGAAACAGCCCAACTGATCATGTGGTATTAGGTCTTGGCCACTGCCGCTTAGCAATCAACGACCTCTCTCCGGACGGAGAGCAGCCATTGCACAGTGACGATGGCAAGATCCACGCCGTGGTGAACGGAGAAATCTACGACCACGATGCCATCAGAGAGAGATGTATCAAAGAGCACAACTACCGATTCAAGGGGCACTGCGACAGCGAGGTCCTCGTCGCCCTGTACAAGATCTACGGCGCCCCCGGCTTCTTCAAACACCTCCGCGGCGAGTTCTCCTTTGTCATCTACGACGAGAACAAGGACCGGGTCATCGTGGCCAGGGACCGTTTCGGTATCAAGCCGATGTTTTGGACTGTACAGGACCAGGGCAACGGTGCGAGTAAGCGGATGCTCTTAGCCTCGGAGATGAAGGGATTCCGAGCTTTTGGCTGGGAGCCGGAGTGGAATGTCTATGGATTGCTTAGTGGATCTTCGATGCAAGCCGACTGCACCGTGTTCAAGGACGTTCGCAAGCTGGAGCCCGGAAACTGGATGGAGATTAGAGATGGCGAGATCAAGCATCGCCAGTACTGGGATCCCGAGTTTAAGGACAAGGTATGTGAAGCCGCGGTCATGATAGTTTCTGCTGGGAGGTGCAGTTTTGCTAACTTATGGCAGCGTGAGGTGGAGACACGAAGCGCGGAGGAGATGATTGAGGGTGTAAGGGAGCGTCTGATAGAGGCGGTGAAGCTTCGACTGCGCGCCGATGTTCCCGTGGGAATCTACCTGTCTGGAGGTACGGAGTCGTCAGATCAAAAAGATCGAAGCACAAGACTGACCTTGCCACAGGTATCGATTCATCAGTCATTGCAGGAATTGTGACGAAGCTGGTAAAGGAGCAGGGCATTGAGCTGGGCAATCAAGACGCAACGAAGCGCATTAAGTGTTTCACGATCCAGTTCCCAGAGTCATCGGGCTTCAATGAAGCTGGTGAGTGCACAGCCCCCTATGGATCACGATAGGGATACCATACTGACGCCCGACAAAAGATATTGCTGAGCGCTCAGCCGACTTCCTCGGCGTGCAGATCCTCAAGAAGGATATGAACGAGACAGAGCTCGCCGACAACTTTGCCGACGCAGTCTTCCATACTGAGCACCACAACTTTGACCTGAACAGTGTAGGAAAGTTCTGCTTGTCATCACTACCTCAACAGCACGGCGTGCCCGTCGTTCTTACCGGCGAGGGCGCCGACGAGCACTTTGCAGGCTACCCTTTCGTGCTGCCAGCCTTTCTCATGGAACCCGACCTCGCGTGGCCCCAGTCCGACATGACGGACGGCGTCCGCATCCCCATGTATCAGGAGATGACGGACGACCTCAAGGCCATGTTTGACCGGATCGGCATGTTCGAGGATGAATCCTCCTCGGGCGGCGCCGCCCCGACGAGCAACTCGATGCGTCTCGAGCCCGAATGGAACGCCTTCTCGCCGTGGGTGCGGGAGACGTACAAGATGCCCGGCTCGGCCGAGTCGACGCTCGCGCCAGAGGTCCTCGAGAAGATGATTGAGAAGTGGCACTCGCTGCACACGAGCCTCTACGTCTACACCAAGGGCCCGCTCGCCAACATGATCCTCACGTGCCTGGGTGACCGCACGGAGATGGCGCACAGCATCGAGGCTCGCCCTCCCTTCTTGGACCACCACCTCGTCGAGTACGTTAACAACCTGCCGCCGAGCGTCAAGGTCGCATATCAAGAAGCTGCCGGGGCAGCCGCCGGGACTGGAACGACCGGCACCGGAGCTAGTCTGTGGTGGAAGGACCTCAGCCCGGCACGTCAGAAACTGAGCGAGAAGTGGATCCTCAAGGAGGCCGGGAAGCCGTTTATTACACAGGAGCTCTACGAGCGGAGGAAGCACCCGTACTCGGCGCCGGTCAAGTGGCCGCGCGGCGGACCCGTGTATAAGATGATTGCGGGGCTGATTACGCAGGAGAATATTGAGAATCTAGGCTTCATGGAGTGGGATAACGCAAAGAGGTGGCTTGAGGAGGGCTTTGGCGAGGATGCGAGCCCCAGAGCATTCCGAAAGCTGATCTGTACCGCCTCCTGGGTTGTTCTTAGTCAACGGTTTGGGGTGAAGAAGGCGGCCGTGAAACAGTGGTCAGCGAGTGCGTGATTGGATGCTCACTTAGGAGTTTGGGACTTTTAGAATTCTACGGTACGAGATGCTCTCAGGGACCTTATTCCGTACCGGGTACACTAGGAATGAGTTTGGATTAGGAATGCACAACAGGTATTGAAGAAAACGATTGGCTTTTGACAAACAATCCGGGACAATGTATTGATGCATTGGAAAATCTTGGCTGCATGTGTACACTTTAGACTTGCTTCGTTGGGGTCCCTGTCTGGCTTCTGATATGGGGACATCCGGACCGTTGGGCGGCCCCGCATCGGAGCCGAACCCGACAAGTAACCATGTCCCTTTGGCGGTGCCGTGAAATATTGCCCCCAACAGCAATGTTGGCCTCCTTCAACGCCTTGCTACACCAAATCCATGGGTCACAAGCATTTTCAGCAATTGACGAGTGCTACGCGTATAACCGAGCTGGGTCATCGTGTCGTCGGGGTCAGATTTGCAACAGTCTGGTACCATTGGCCAGACTGGTCTGAAGCAAAGCTGACAAGGAACCGAGGCACCCATCCCTTCCCCCCAGGTGCCACAATAGGGGTTCTGTCGATCGGCTCCCCGGCCAATTGGGTACGCAAGCTGAAGCTCCGTTGGGTCCAAAAGTGCCCCGAAGCCCCGGCTTTGCGGGCAGTGTAAGCTAGCCTTTTTTTACACGCGGCGGGGGGTAAAGAGGTACCTGTGCATCCACCGCAGGGAATGCGTGCCGCCGCCTGTCTGGAGCTTAGCCCTTCCAGGTTCCAATCCCTCCAAAAGGCGGTTTTGCGTCACAAAAATAACCCCCAAACTAAAGGTCCCCGGTCTTGTCTGGACACATGGGACGGAAGTTGCGACCACGAGACTTCATCTCCAATTTCCCACAACCTCCAACCTTTTCCCGTTTGCTCGAATCAACACACCGAAGTGTCGAAACTCACAACCTGGCACAGCTCTTGAGAGCTTTTCCTTCTCTACACACACATTGACGAGATGTTTTAGAAACTCTCAAACCTGAAACTCTCTCTCCCTTTCCGCCTCTTCGGCTTCTTCTACACGTACACGTGCACAAAGTTCCTCGAGGAGCTTTGCATCCACGAGCCAGCCCGCCATGGCTGCCATCCTCAAGTTCTTGAGGAGCATCTACGACCTCGATAACCTCGACACCCGCTTCACGAGCTCCTCTTCCGTTCCCTACAAGACCATCGTCGAGGCCCGAACCGATCCCGCGCAGAGCAAGGAGCCGCCCAACAAGGTCCAAAGCCGCTCCCAACCGTCGAAATGGGGGACACCGGAATACCTCCTCTACATCTTTCTGCTTTCATTCATCGTGCCATACATGTTTTGGATCGCGTATGATGTATCAAGGCGTACGTCTGGTCCTCTTCCTCCGAAGATGAACCTTCCGCTGATGCTCAATGCTTCCATCCTCTAGCTTCTGACCCTCGATACCACAACTACGAACGCTTCCTCCGTGATGGCTGGATACCGGGTCGCAAGATCGTAAGCTTCACACAATGCGCAAACCTACCCAACCTATCGACTCCAGCTCACCCCCGACTTCTCTTTCTAGGACGTATCCGATTCACAATACCACACGTTCCGCGAGAACCTCCCGTTCATGGCCCTCCTCCTGGCCTTCCACCCCCTTCTCCGCAAGCTCTGGAACACAGTCTTTCCGATCCCCTCGGACCTGCACAAAAAGTCTGTCTCCGAACAGGGCGACACCCGCCTTGAGCAGCGTGCCTCCTTCGACTACCGCTTCGCCCTCGTCTTCCTCGTCGCCCTGCACGGCTTCTCCGCCCTCAAGGTGCTCGCGATCCTCCACATCAACTACCAGCTGGCGACCCGGCTCCCGCGCCGCTACGTCCCCGCCGCGACGTGGACGTTCAACATCTGCATGCTTTTTGCGAACGAGCTCTGCGAGGGGTACCGCTTCGCCGCCATTGCGCGACACATCACCCCGCCGCCCGCGACGAAGAACTTGCTCGATGAAGACCCCTTTCTCGTGAGGTGGGGTACATGGATGGACCGTCATGGCGGCCTCATGAACCGCTGGGAGATTCTCTTCAACATCACCGTCCTACGGCTCATCAGCTTCAACTTGGACTACTACTTCAGCCTCGATCAACGCAACGGAAGTCCCCTAGAGGTAAGATCAAAGCTCTGTCATACCAACCCCCTCGACATCACTGACGTCCCCAAGAAGAAGCAACTCGACCCCTCCAACCTCTCCGAACGAGACCGCCTCGCCATCTCCGCCGCGCCCAAGGACTACTCCTTCCGCAACTACGTCGCCTACGCAATCTACGCACCCCTCTACCTCGTCGGCCCCATCATGTGCTACAACGACTTCATCTCCCAGCTCCGCCACCGCCCGGCCTCGATCGAGACCCCGCGCACGATCCGCTACGCCGTCCGCTTCCTCCTCGGCCTCCTCGCCATGGAAGTTGTCCTGCACTACGACTACGTCTGCGCAATCTCCCACGCCGGGCCCGACTGGTCCACCTACACGCCCGCCCAGCTCTCCCTCCTCTCCTTCTTCAACCTCCACATCATCTGGCTCAAGCTCCTCCTGCCCTGGCGCCTCTTCCGCCTCTGGGCCCTCATCGACGGCGTCGACGCTCCCGAGAACATGCTCCGCTGTGTCTCCAACAACTGGTCCCCGAAATCCTTTTGGAAGGCCTGGCACCGTTCCTACAACCGCTGGCTCATCCGGTACATCTACATTCCCCTCGGCGGCGCAAACTTCCGCTCCTGGGCCACCACCGTCCGCTCCATCGCCACGTACCTGCTGGTCTTTACGTTCGTCGCCCTCTGGCACGATATCCGTCTGCGCCTGCTCATCTGGGGCTGGCTCATTGTGCTCTTCCTGCTCCCCGAGGTCCTCGCGCAGCTCCTGTTCCCCGCGCGCAAGTGGGAGGGCAGACCGGATACGTACCGGCGGATCTGCGCCGTGGGAGCTGTTGCGAATGTGCTCATGATGATGATCGCCAACCTTGTCGGTTTCGCTGTCGGACTCGACGGCTTGCAGAGCATTCTCTCTGGAATTCTGCACGACTGGTCAGGTAAGTTCATCTTCCCTTCTTACCCCTGAAAGTGCATGCACTAATCCTGATCTCTCTAGGTGCGCTGTTCTTTATGAGTGCGTTTGCCTCTTTGTACATGGGTGTCCAGGTCATGTTTGAAATCAGAGAGGCCGAGATGCGAAGAGGCATTTCACTAAAGTGTTGACGGGTGTTCACCTTCATTTGTCACCCAAAACGTTTGTAGCAAAATTACCTGTTTGAATAGCGATTCTTAGATGTTTGGTATTATGATACTAGACAATTATTATGCTGTACTATTACTTGATGCAACTCGCTCCCTCTTCCCTTTTTGCGCCTCTCGACGTTGTGATGCTACTCATGACAAGGAGGGGACAAAAATTAGTTGAGGTCCCTCCGGGGTATAATAACAATGCAGTGCCTGCTCCCAAATCCGTGTCCAGACTCCTTCTCCTTGTCTCTCCCTCTTTATACATATACACATACATATAAGTCACCACGTTTGCGTGTTCTGTCGATTGAAATGGGCATGCGCTTAGGCTCCTTTTACCCTCCTCCTTTTCGCTCCCTCTTTCTGACTTTATTTCCGGTCTCAGTGCTTGGAGGTGATGGTGCCCAGCTCCGTATCGTAGTTGCGGAAGCGCTGCTGGGCAAACTTGCCGTCCATGCCCAGCTTCTTCTCCGTGATCCACTCCCTCAACCAGATGAGGCCCTTTGCAATGAGATAAAAGACGATACCGGCCACCGCGATGCCGATAATGTACGCCGCCACCTTGCCGCTGCCGTTCTTGTCGATGTTGAGGAAGTCGTAGGTGTAGAAGCCCTGTGTGTAGTAGGTGACGTAGGCGAGCGCGAGGTACAAGGCGAGGACGATGATGAGCCAGAGCATGTGCACCCACTCGAGCTGGGCGGCGCTGGTGCGCGGGATGACGATCTCAAAGAGGGCAAAAGCCGAGTTGAGGCCGTGCTGGGAGATGTTGCTAAAGGCCTCGAATTGCTCGGTGTACCAAGGGGCCGAGTAGATGATGGCCCAGTAGACGATGGTCACGATGAAGGGGTAGGTGACGATGGTGCTATAGTAGAAGGCGTGCAGGGCCTGGAGGGGTCGCGGGAAGCGGTCGAGCAGCGGGGTCCCAGAGTGCGCGTAGGTGAAGGTGTGGATGGCCGAGATGAGGAAGTAAAACGCGAGTCCCCAGTAGGTCAGAACAGTCTACGGAGGGGGATCCCTCAAGTCAGTCTTGCGCCCTGTTCACCATGTTGGCACACAATGATATTCGAGGTTTACTTACGAAGTAGGAAAAGCTCTGGCCGACGACCTTGCACCCGCCATCTTCGGCGTGAGTACAGGTCCAACCGATGACGAAGAAGCGGACGACAAAGATGTACAGACTCTGCGAGAAAAAGACGTGTTAGTTCCCACAAGCAATTCAATGTTTGGTGGTGGTTAAAGGGGCATTTGCGCGCTGAGAGGATGGTGACGACAGTGCTAGACACCACAATGCACGAAGGGTCCTCAAGCGTGACAGAGAAGAGTAGGGGAAGCCAAGACTCACAATTAGCGCTCGACACGCGGCCAACAGATAGGGAGAAAGCAGCCATGAGGTCTCGAAGCGGTGAGAAGGATCCCAAAGATCCCTCCCGAAGCGGAATGCAGCGAACATCGTGATCTGCCGGGGGGTGATTGATGCCGGCTAGGATTGAGGGGGGGAAAGGGGGAGTGGTGAAGCCCTTTACCCTCTCAATTTTCCTTCACGATGATGAAGTTTTGGAGTTGAGCTAGAAGGACGGGGCAATTGCTCGAGGACCCAAGAGGATTTTGAACGTGGGCCTTGGCTTTCGGCGCGGGTCGTTGGTTCGCAGGGATGGTCTCCGCTCGGCGCTGGCTGAGAAATCGCAATTACTTTCTGCTGCTGGGGGAACCTGGACCTTGGTGGCAGGGCGCGCCGAGTCTCACGGGATGTCGCGTGCCGGATGTTGATGCGGGAGACCGTACGATTATTGATACAGAGTAATGATGGTTGATGATGTTCGCGACTGTGAACAGTTGGGTGCTATCTACTGTATCTTCTGTTATTGTTGTTGTTGTTATTTCTCTTCCTGTCGATGCCAGCTTGCGACCCCATTGAAGAATGAACTGATTCGACAACCATGGACTGTGCAGCAGTCGTAAGCAACGTCGCGAGGCCCAATGTGTAAGCTGGGCCGCGGAATGCGACCATAAAGGTCTACCAAGGCTGTACACAGGTACCGACGGCTCCACGATAGGTATGGCCGATGCCGACACCTCTTTTTTTGGTTCTTCTATCCGCTTTTGTGGCCGAGGAACCTGGTCACCAAAGAGGGTCTTGACCGTTGCTGCAGTTAGCCGGAGATGATGTGGGGGGTTCATGTACGATGTCAACGGGAGCATAAGGGGGGAAACCGTGGGTTTTCTTGAATTTCTCGAGTTCGGCCGAGAGCGTCAGAAAAGAAGATCCCGCCCGCGACATGTCCATCTCTTCTCACAAGCGTCTCCCTCCCCAAACTTGGGGTTCGACTGTAGCGAGTAAGACGGTCAGCCGAGAATAGCTGAACCGGATTTGCTGAGCAGACAGGTAAAGAATGCCACCGTGTGTTTTGGGCTATGTTGTGTGGCTGACGCCAAGTTAGCTGATCCAATATGATGGTGCTCGACTGAGAAGTGGCTCCTCGTCGTCAGCCATAATTGATGATAGCAGGAGCCTTCGATAGTGAGGATATATCCGAACGGGCGCAAACTCCTCCTCCCGCTAAATCAGTGAGAAGGTATCCTCGAATAATCAGCTGAGAGAGCCCATAGCCATTGTGGCTCGGCTGGCGCGACTGCTTTTGGTTTCTGGCCACCACGTATCCGTAGTCCATCACGCCGTTGCTGTATTGCCGTTCCCCTGACACAGGTGCATGCTGCGGGGTGAGGCTCCTGCAGAGAAGAAGTAGATGATTCTCAACTTTGGTAAGCAGATTGTAGATCGATCTCCAGATGAACCGACCGTCGATCGACAGGTGTCCCAGACTTCCAGGCCGAAGGTGGCACAAGGGGCACCGCACGAACGGCGGTATGACGGGATCGAAACCAGGACAGGCCTTGCAGCCGCGCTTGTCGTGCAAGATGCGCTGAATCGTGGATGCCCGTCATTTCCGCGCTTGCGTTGCGAAGGAGAAGCGCGATACAAATACGGCCGCCACTTTCCGACCCTTGAAGGAGCCACTGCGAAGCCAATATTTGTCCACGGTGAAATTTCACCGCGAGGGGTCGAAATGTAAAGGAGATCGATGGCCCAATCCCACAGGAGCCACAATGGCTATCGTGACGTGAGCGACCCCTTGGCGACGGTAATACGGGAAGAAACTTGTCAAAGTCCCACATGAGCCCCCGGGAAGGTTGTGGCTCATCACATCGTCATGCCCGTCATCTATCGAACTCTCCGTCGTCTGCCCTGTAGACCCTCAAGATGGCCACACGGTCGTATTCCCATGGCTAAGGTAGAGGTGGGTTGGCAATGTCCGCCAAAACCAATACTTCGCCAAACCGACTTGAACCGTTACCAATTGCAGTTGTATGAGCCACCGAGCGAGATGTGGTAATCTGGTTCGTCCCGTATCATTGGGTCAGGAGAAATCGTCAGCGGACCGTTTTGGGCTTTTATTGGAGTTGAGGAGGTCACAACGGGCCGCATGGCATCGGCCGTTGGGTTGTGTCTGTAAAATAACCGGCCCAAGACGCGCTGGAGTAGGATCGATAGTCAACATTAACATTGAGCGTCGCGCTTCTTTGGACCGAGGCTTTCGGCCTAGTAAACCCCCATGAACTGCCCAGCAAGCTCCGTCGTCATTCCATCAAAAGCGCGCTGGTTGCTCGCACAGACTAGCTCTATAGTCAGCGTCAGGGGCTTTTGGACCGAACCCGATGAGGCTCCTCGGTTCATCTCGTCTTTTCTTGGCTCTCGTCTCTTCTCGCCTTCCCCTGTTCCAGCCATGTCAAGGGTGTCGCAACTAATCTTGAACGGCGGTCAACAACTGGGGAAATTCAAGTTAAGGACCCAAATGAACGCTGCAAATCAGGTCAAATATTCCACTCGATCGATAAAGATGTTACCGGGAAGAGTCAAGGGCTATAAGCGGGCTCCATGGTCGGGAGACGAGGCCGATCGATCGGCTCAGTGAGCCTATGTCCACAGATGGAAATGAGGCCGGAGAGGCGAGCCGTTAACACAAACTCGTCTCGAGCAAAAGCCACGAGATGGTGGGTGTCAATTGTCGACACGGTCGGCGGTTTGAGACTCAGGTCTAGCTTCCGCCGCTTCAAACATCGAAGGCCGTGCGATCAAAGACCAACTAGGACATGATGCCCGCGACAGGCGTTAGAGGAATAAAGAGTGTGAGAGCAGAGTGTACCATAAGTATCTGGGGCATCGGCATTGCACACCCCGTTTTGCGAATCGTGCCCCCATTGACGGACATAACTAGACACCGAATTTGGAATGCTTCTCGGGTGTAGACCTGTGATATATCATGAGATGCGAATTAAGTGATTTTTGTCATTTACGCCGCGAATATGGTCAATCTCAACCTCCACACAACGGCACATCTCATGCCGATGTGAGCGGGCGCTCCTGGCGTCTATACCACAGTAGACTGTACTTGTCGAGCTGTGTTTGGTATTTGCCCGGCGGGTATGGCCTGGGCTGGGCCAAAAACAGGCGAAGCAAATAATCGCATCGCCAGGACTTCTTCAGGCCCTGTCGTCGTTGACAAAAGACCCAAGAGGCACCTTTGGATGGCAAGGTTGCAGTGCGAAGTGCCATAACCATTGAATGTGGGCCCTCAATGGCGCGTCAAATGGAACATGTAACGGCACTTGGGCAAAGTGGGAGGGCGGCCTTCGCAGGCTGTGCCTTCAAAGTGTACGGATACCCCTCTCCTATGAATCAATTTCATCGTGTGAATGCGAGTTATTGATTGGCGAGCCGGAGGATGACTTCTGGAATGGGCTGGATTACGGGTGACGACGACCAACTTCCCCAAAGCATCCGTATTCGGCCATGAAAGGAAGTTGTGTCAGCGGTTGAACAATACTGTGGTAAGACGACGTCCCAGACTGGCTGTCAAGAGCAGGGGGTTGGATCCCAATCGAGACTCGGTCCTGCATCGTGGAAATAGTCTCGTAGCCCTAGGACAAGGCACCTTGTCTCCCGTTGGTTGTCGGCAGAAAGGTGTGAGTTGGATTTGATTGATAGTATGGAAAAGCATCGTGTACTGTAGGTACTAAGTAGTTCGAGGTGCCAGTCAGCGCAGGCCGCAGGCCGCAGACAGCAGAAGTTTGGCTGGTACTTTCTGCCGTGTTTGGTGGCTGACGAAACATCTGCCCGTTTGCCTTGGCGTGCATATACTAGCCGCAATGACTGCGTCGGTGGATGGGGGCTGATTTGTTTCTTTCGGTGGGTTGAAAGCTGGGACGTCCCATCTTGTCAGCAGCCTGGAGGGGATGATTTGACTCTGATGCTGCAGAAGCAAGCAGAAGATGCTTTCGACGGGCATGTTATCGGCATCGGCTGCAGCATTAGCATCAGTGTGTCGAGTGCGTCCCGGACCTAGACCACACGTCAAGGTAGGGGGCGGAAAGGGAAGTGGGTGAAGACATCTGCTCGGTAGGAGGGCACCTATTAACACAATCAACGCGTAGGTGGACACCATCGAATAATGTCTAAGCGACGGAGTCAGTCACAGCTCTCGTAGTCAGGCAACCCAGTCAGTAAGTCCAGTGGTGCCAAGCAAGATGGACCTGCTCTCTGCACAAGGAAGAAGAGCAAATAGACTGCGCTTCCCTTTTCATCATCGAGGGCCACACCTAGGGTTTTCAGTATCATGCAGATGCGCATCACCATCCGTACAGAGTATCCGTAGTTAAATTGGAGTTTGGAGGGCCAGAGGTCGAGAGCCGGAGACCGCTTTTCGCCGGACGAGAGGGGTGGCAGTTGGAAGTATTGGAGGATTGAGGGGTGGAGAGAGAGAAAGGTTAGGTGCTGCGTAGGTTGAAGACAGGGTCCGGGGTGATTGGGGGCTGTTCTGTCCCCTGAGCCCGTGCGGGCAGCGCAAAGACGATTTCGAATTCAAGCAGCGAGCTCTGGGGGGAGAAAGTGGTGCTGATTCTGGGCCTGGATCTAGGGCGAGGTCTTGGTGAGTACTTTGTACTGATCATGGTGCATTTGAGATGGTGAGGTGGTGAGGATGGTGAAATCTTCCATGGCGAGGTTGGGGCTGATGTGTGTTCCGTAAGGTAGGCACGTAGTAAGTAAGGTAAGAAGGTAAGGTACGGAGTACTAGGTAGTCCACGGGTTCGTACTCCGTAGGGGACCCTGCAAGTGAGTCCCTGTCTTGGGAGGAGCGTCGGGTGGTTCTGGGCCCTTTCCCTTTTGCAGCTCGCCATGTTCTTCCCCGTTTTGCTCAGGGGTTCGAGGAAAGAAGCAGCGCTAAGGCAGAAAAGAGCAAGGGCGGCAGGGGTCCATGGGAAACGATTCAACTCACAAGGGGGAGGAAGGAGGGACGGGCGGGTGGTGCTGGGTCCTTCCTTTCTTCCTTCTGCTGGGGCCAACATGAGGCGTCCCTTTTTTCCCTTCTTTTTTCTCTCTTAATGACCTGGAGCAATGTGATGGCTGCGGAGAGGAGGGGGGGGGGGGCCGCAAAGCAATAGAGCGATTCAATTGATTGCCTGGAATGACTAAGTAATACAATGAATCTCGGAAGAGGCGATGAAGAATCGAACGAGGGCCTCCAGCTAGGTACTCGAAGACCTTTTCGGGGAGTGCCTAAGCACCTAAGGTAAGTAGGTAATGGAAGAGATTTCATCAAAGGAGAAGGAAGCAAGAGTGGCATTCCATAGGAACCAAAGCCGAGTGTCATAACTGCAAGGGCGAAGAAACACCGCCGCTTGTAGACACGAGACTCGAACGAGAGAGGTAAAGGGAGAGAGTGTATACGAATATACATGTGAGAGTACTTTACCTTGGGGCAAGGAACAGTTTTGGATCGAAGTATCTTCTCTTGGAGCTCTGCCCCCATGGTTCAGGTACTCCGTAATGGTCCCATGGCAGCGGCGGTCGCAGGTGTCAGTTGAGCCTGCCCGATTCCACGTCCTTGTCAATGTCAAGTGACTGCCACTGGGCGTCAAGGTCAGTGTGTCAGTGCTGTTCAACCAACAGCAGCAGTATCTGCTTTCTTTTCTCACTCAATCCTGGAGCCCTGCCAGAAACAACACGTATGTACATACTGCGGTAGACAGACGCACTCGCACTCGCCCCAAGCTGCATTTTGTTTCTGGGCGAGGTACATAGCCTTACGGTCGGGATTCCGAAGTATTTTTTCCTACCTTGCTCCGTACTGTATGGTACGAATACCTTACAGGCATCCCCACGGAGCATGTATCTGGAATACAATCTCGACTAGGGAGGTACAGCCAGGAGGCTACCTTACTTGGAGATACTTGCTTTACCTAAGATGATAGACCTCGGGCTCAACCCTTTCCCTCAGTACCCAAAAAGGCACTGGCACCATTTTGCATCTGCACCTCACGCTGCGCGCCGCGTACCTTACCTTGCTTGCACCACTCACTCACTTATGGCCATGGATCGCAAAGTAGCAGCAAATGTACCTCAGGTACGAAGTAAGAGGTATCTACTGTGTGTAAAGTGGTGGTGAAAAAAAGGAGCAGGGCGACCACCACCCACCTTGCCCACCTGCTTGGTCTTGCCTTTCCTTGCGTTAGCGTAGTCGCCGGCATTCGAGCCACTCATCCCTCCACCTTCGTTCAATCAATTCAATTTAGTGGAGGGTGGGTGGATGGATGTACGTCTGTCCAGGTCCGGGTCCAGGTCCAGGTTCGTGCCCAGGGCACCCCCATCTCATCCCATCCCATCCCACACCATCCCATCTCATGGTCCATCGCCGCGCAAGTCACTCCCTCTCACACACACACACACACACACCACACACCACGCTCTCTCACTCGCGAACTGCATTTCCGGGCTTTCTTTACCATCCCAGCGAGAGGCGCCTTACGTACCTTGCTACCAACAGAGCTTCTTTGCCCTTTTCCCTCCTCTCGACTTGTCGCTCCATCTTGTCACTCTTTTCCAAGGCCACGAGGTAGAATTGAGATCCAACTCTCTATCTGTCTGTACCACTCACTACCTACCTACCTTGCTCCGTACACTTTGGCCCGCCTCAACTGTCCAGTCCCTCCTCTTCAGACTTCAAACTCAACCCTCGCCTCGTCCATCTCCGCCCTGGAATGCTATCCTCTGCCCCTCTCGCCATTCTTGTACGGATACACGACTGAGCGTACGACGGGAGCCTTGACTCTTGAGCCTTCTTCCCGGTCCCGATCCCGCCGTCATCGCTTGGCCTTCCCGGTTCTTCTTTTTCGCTTCTCATTGTCCTGAGCCTAACCCTTTTACTCATAATCCTAATATTATCCCACTTCACACTATAATCTATACCTTACCCTGTCTGGCCTTACCTTGCCTCCGACATCCCTCCTTGCTCGCCCGCTCGCCCTTTTTCACCATTGCGACAACCCCGGATCTATTCTTGCTCGCTCCTCTCTTTCTCAACCCCCCTCTCTCACCTTCCAGGGGCTGTCCTGCCTGTCATGTCAATCCGCGACTGCTGAACACGTCCTTTTTCTCCCCTTCGACGCGGCTGCTTGTTGCAACATCTCGACTCTTTGCCAATCTCATCCAACCAGAGCCAGCCATTCGCACACCCAACACCCCGTACAACAAGCACCACCACCACCACCAACACTTGTGAGACCAGCAGTGACAGTTGTGATCTCCCATACAGCGCCCGTGTCGCACAACGTCGTACGTTATTATCTCCGACTCTGCTATTCGACCTTCCGCATCGCACGACTCCGACCGAACCACCAGACCCGTACTGTCGAGCGGCTGTGGCAGTTGTCGCACGCCAACGGTCTCTGCCGCTCGTCTATAGCCTCGCCAGACATAGCTTCTTCTGTACGCCATGGCTACATCAACGGGCTTCCCACGCATGTCCTTCGGGGCCAACAACAACCTCGACTTGAGCTTGGACCTGCCAATCGTTCTCTTCCCCCCGTCAGACGACCTGCCTTCTCCCATTTATGAGAGTGACGATGAGGATGCTCAGCGAACACCGACCACGGCTACCGTGCCCCAGATCCCAGACTGCAGCACACGCCGAACAAATAACGAGTCACCGACACTGGGTAGCCCCAAGGTCCCTCGCCATCCCATCCCCTCAATGCAGGCCGCTTTCGCCGAGTCATTTCTCGAAGTCGCCGATGGCAATCCTACTCAGAAACCGAAACTCAAAACTGCTGATGCAAAGATTCGTCGCGAGGAGCTCATTAGCCAGGAACGCGAAGATGACCTACCCGATATGCTCTGGCGATTTCGCCCCGGCCAGCAGCAGCACGAGCTCCAGAAGCTCATGGCGCAGATATCATTTGGCGTTTACTTGCTACTTCACGGCATGGCCAACAGCGCCGCCCAGGTCGTCAGTATCCTGCAGGGTCACATCGACGAGGTGGACGAGTTTCTCGAGGTGGTCATGGAGGACTTTGAGCAGGCGACCAACGATTTGAAGGAGAGGATTGACTACCTTCGCTTGCCCATGGAGAACCTCGAAGTCTTTGAGAAACTGCTAGAGGACCGCAATTTCCGCCTCGAGATCGTTCAGGGCAACGAAAAGATTGAGCATATCGTAGCTCGCACCAACATCCAGCTTGAACAGTACGACAAAGATGTGCAGCATGGCCTCGCCGCAACAAAGGAGTTTGCTGTTTATCTGGCTCACCAGAATGCAGGCAGTTGGCGTCAAGATCGTCCAGACGTGGTTGACATCTATGCCGCAATGAAGGGCAATACTGAGGGGTGGTATAACGCATTTGTAGAGTTGCAAGCTCAAGGCAAGGAGTTGAATACCTTGGTCGTTAAGCTGGGGAAGATGGTGGCTGAAATGAGCAAGAAGGCCGGCGAAGTGAGTCGAAGAACTTGGGTAAGTCGGGCCAATCGCCCTGTGGTCTACCCAAAACTAACCGCTCTGTAGGCCAGCATTCCGCCGTTCAGCTTACCGCTACAAGGCGCCCGAGTCGACGACGCGCCGTCAAATTCACCGCCAGTTTCACCTCCCAGAGACCCGAGGCGCTCTACGCTGCGCGCGAATAGTGTGAGCGGCTCTGTCTCTACTGGGGGGAGGTCAAGTTCCAATTTGGCCTACTTTGACATCCCAATGCAGATACCATCGCCAGTAGCTTCCCCTGATCAGCGATCGGTCAAAACCCATAGAACATCGCACTCAAACAACACCATGCAATCTTTCCACACCTCTCACTCTCACAACACAATTCATTCACAAACGACCACTAAATCTCATAAAACCACACACTCTCACAACACCAACCACTCCCACGAGACGGCTCGCACAAGCCATACTACTCGCACCAACCAGAGCTCGCAGCCTATCGCCCCCAAGCTCACTCTGGAGACTCCCGACGGCCCAATAACTGAGCCAGTCAGCGCTGAGGAGGAGGTGGAGGTGACACTGGACGACGGACCGCTATACATACTCCAACCAAGGACCTACACCCCACAGCCACCAGAGGAACGCATGCCTTCACCCGCCCCGACCGAATCATCAAGCAAATACCAGCCCCAGCGCGAGGCGCCTCTCCCAACGAAGAAGACATCGCTTCGCCAGAGAGTTTCTTTGAAGACGACCCCTCCAGAGTCAATCCAAATTCCACCCCCGTCATCAGACCTTCATCACACTGCGCGAGAGTCTCCTCGGGAGCGTCAGGCTCCAGATTCCGCCTACGGTTCTGACTATGACCAGCGGCAGCGTTATCATGCAGCGAACGAGCTCTCTCCACCTGTACAGCAGCCGCCGGTGCTACCGTCTCCGAGGTCGGAACACCAATATTACCGCCCGGTGCAAGCGAGTCCACACTCTCCACTACAGCAAAGGCCGCTCACTGCTGGTGCGCAGCCTAGATCTCCTTATGGTCACCAGTCTGGGTACTATCCCACTCATCAGAGGAACGCACCATCCCGTCTAGGAGGCGCAAGCATGTTGAGCAACGTCACGACCATGACATACGACTCGCAGATGACAGCGAGCGGAGAAAAGCGACTGAAGAAGAAACGCAGCGCTTTTGGCTGGCTGAAGAAGGCATTCTCGCTTGACGAAGAGGAACAACGAGCATACGAAGCACGAAGGCAGCAGCAAACGCCCAATATGTATTACGACGGCAGAAGCCCCAAGTTCTTAGACGGCAAAAGGGTGGCGCCGCCACGGACGGCAGACAGCGTCTATCGCCAAGGAGGCAGCGTCTATCGACAACAATAAGTCGGCCGTGTCACAGCAGGTTGTCATGGGCCGTAACCCCCACATGTGGCTCGTCGTCTGTAAAAATGGGAATCATGCCGAGTATGGACCACTCTTCGAATTCGCCATTTTGCGACTTGCGCCCGGTATTGGACAGAAGAAGTGCGATATTGATACCCCTCAGGCGATCATTTCTTGATATTACATCACTGTAATCATGCCACTCAACAAAAACCGTTGAACATGCTTCGCGATGTACATTTTGGCTTACGGGGTTTCCGCGAGCACATAACCATCTACTCGTTATTTTATGTTATTTGGAACAGATACTCGCAAGCTTGCGAAGGAAGAAAATCAGCATTAGTGCCCTGCCAGGCGTCAAGGCGTTTTAGTCATTAATGTAGCGACTTGCCGTTTTTTTTTTTTGGTGCATTTACAAGCCAATCTTATACATATACACCCGATGGAGGGCAGTAATATATGATTCTACGAGGATCCAAGACGAAATAGCGGGCCAAACCTCAACCCAACTCTAAATGAAAGCATCACCCCGCAATGTAGTGAACATATGTCATGCCTACGATTGCTGCGGTCTACGCCCTTGTGTACGCCCTACGCTGTAAGGCTAATATCCCTGTACGATTGGCCAAGGGCTTTATAGGTCGGTTTGCCGTATAGAGAGCTCTGATCAATCCGCAGATCCTAGACTGCTCGTTTTCGTTAACTCTGTACGCCGGTTTTCTGTACAGCCAAGACCAGTCAGTATCCGCTTCATAATTTGTATCGAATAATATAAGAAGCCACCGCGAGGTCCTGTCAGACTTGAGGGGATGCTAACTCTGATTTTTTATATGTCTCTTGAATTACTATTTCACCTTTCCACAATATTCATCACCCTCTTCCCCGCTTTATACCTCTACAAGCAACGGAGAAGAGGAAGAGTTCAGCAGATCTCCCACCCGCCATGACAACCTCAGCGCACAGGACGTGGTTCATCACGGGCTGCACGAGCGGTTTCGGCGAGGCCCTCGTGCGGAAGCTGCTGGCGGAGGGGGATAATGTCATTGCCACGGGGCGTGGCGGGGCGGAGGCCAGGCTTGCGCACCTGCGAGACTCGACGACAGCGGCGCGGTTTCGGATCATCGAGCTTGACGTCGGAGCGGCGTCTGAGGCGGAGGTACGGACCCAGGTGGCTGAGGCGTGGGGGTACTTTGAGGGCGGGGTTGATGTTGTTGTGAATAATGCTGGGTATATCGTATCTGGACTTGTCGAGGAGTTGACGTGAGTTCTCTTTGGGACCTCCCTTTTCCATGTCCCCTTTTTGTGTCCTCTTTCCCCGCGTCCCCCCCCCCCCCTTTTTTCCCCTCCGGAGTATCTACTGACATGGACGAAACAAGAAAAGACAGGAGGAGATGGAAGCGAGCTTCAAGACGAACTTTCACGGTCCGCTGAACATTACGCGCGCGTTTCTGCCGATGATGAGGGAGAGGGGGACGGGAACGCTGGTGTATATCAGTTCGCAGGCGGCGTGGCATGTTGAAGTCGGTGCTGGGGCGTATAGTGCGAGTAAATTCGCGCTCGAGGGTTTGTGTTTTGTGTTTCTTTTTGCCAACTCCATCACTTACACCTTGTACACCTTGAACATCAGTCTTGTTTTCTTGAGCTTGGTAGCTTCTACGGTCTCCTCTCATCCACCCCCATCCCTGAACAAGAAAGAAGAAGAGGAAGAGAAAGGCTGACCCTGCAACTTTGAACCCTCCCAAAGGCGCCGTCGAGACACTCTCCAAAGAACTATCCGTCCTCGCTCCAAACATAAAGGTCATCATCATCGAGCCGGGCTTCTTCCGCACCAAAGTCTTTAACAAGATATCCAACGTTCCAGCCCGTATTCCCGAGTTTGCAGAGTTCAACGCCGCGATCAGGGCGGGCGCCGAGGCGCTTCCGGGGACGGAGCTGGGGGACCCTGAGAAGGCTGTAGCGAGGATCGCGGAGCTGGTTCGGGGCGACGGGATGGCGAAGGACGGGGGCGGAGACGGGGACGGTGGTGGTGGTAGGGAGGTGCCGTTAAGGGTCGCACTGGGGAGCGATGGGTGGGAGAGGATTCGGGCTAAATGTGTGGGTGTTTTGGAGGGGTTGAGGGCTTGGGAGGATGTTGCGAGGAGTACGGATCTGTGAATGTTTCACTAGCAGTCTCCCTTTAGAAAGAGTTTGGAAAACACAAGAAAAGTAAGGAGATGACCAAGATTCAGCCTGCAGGCTTCTATTCCTCTTGTCTATTCAAGCCCCGGGAAAATACAGTTGTCACTCCCCGACGCCGTAGCTCTTTACTCTACTAAAGAAGAAGGGCTTATCGTTCTTCAACGCAAACTCGCCCAGGTCGTCCGTCAGCTTGTTGTAGCTGTAGAAGCCCTTCCACACGAGCTTGGTGTTGCGCGCGCCACCCTTGCCGGCGTTGCGCATCTCTAGATACATCCTGTACGTGTACTTCGCCCCGACCCCCTCCGTCTCGACGGCCACGTCGCCCTCGACCTCCCCGAGCGGCCTGTCCGGGTGATCGAGCGCCGAGGATAGCCGCCACCGCCCGCGAAGGCCGTGCTGCATGACGACGGACGGCAGGTGCGCCGTGCCGCCGCCGCTACTGCGCCGATGGAGCTCAAGCAGGTCCTTTGTCATGTAGTGCACGACGTGGGCGGGTTCGTCGGTGGTGAGCAGGCTGATGGCGGTGCCGTCGCGGAAGAAGCGGAGGTAGCGGTAGTAGGTCACGATGTGGACGGGGCTGTTCCAGGTGATTTGGTTGGCGTTGGCCTGGCCCGGTCGGATGTAGTTCACGGTGCTGATGTAGCACCCGTTGAAGCGGATCCGCGGCCTGTGCCGGAACATTTTCCGCCAGGACGAGTCGTAGAGTTCCGGGAGGAGGGTGAGGGTTGTAGTCTCGCCCTCTTCCCTGCGGCGCCGCGCGAGCTCCTCCATGGTCACGTAGTCAAGGTCGCCGCTGTTGTCTTCCTCTTCCTCCAGCGGTTCCCAAGAGACGCCGCGTTGCCAGTGGTAGTGCATGCCCGCGAAGCCGAATTCCGGGCCGAGAGCGACGCGGCGCCAGATCTGCTGCTCCGTGGCGACGACGTAGGCGAAGCGTTTGCATATGAGGGACAGCCGCACAAAGTCGCCGACGTCGAGGACGGCCACGTCTTTGAAGATGTGGACGAGGATCTCTTCAGGCATGGCGGCAATGGGGCAGGGCGGCGCCGGGTCGCCTTCTACCGGCGGGGGCGCTGCTGCTACGGCGAGGCCTGAGAAGCCGGCAATCAGCTCGCTCATTGTCTGCGTCTCTACGGGCTTGTTTGCTGCGCTTGTGGCGGCGGTCGCAGGACCTGATGCTGAGGGCTGTGGCGCTTTCGCGGCACCGGCGGGGAAGTGCTTTTTCCGGTATGCCAGGTCGACTCTATTATCCATCTGCAGTGAAAGCTTCAGTATGATGACGGTGGAAGAGGTGTATTAGCAAAGCACTGGCTGCTCACCCTGAATGCTTTCCGGTACAATTTGAGACTGTCCCCTAAGCTACCGATTGCCTCCTTTTCGACAGCTTCTTCAAAGTGATCCAGAGCGGATACCAGTTCTCTGGCCTTATTGGGATCAGACTGACCATCCAGTGTCGGACCGGACGCGGGCGGTGCTGGTTCATCGAAAACGAGAGATTGTGCGTATTCCTCATCCTCTTCTATTTGAGACCTCTTGGCAACTATGCTTTTGGGAATCTCTGCAGGTACCGAATGCTTGGATGACGAGGATGACTCCTTTTTCGAGTGAGGCGCCCGGGCTTCTGGGTCTACCTTTTTGTGCTTCAGCTCAGTCTGCCATTGTTGCCGGAAAGACTCCAGCTCAGAATCGAGCTGTGGAGGTTGGTCTGCCATGACTGATAGCTATGATGCTCAAAAGTTATGAGCCGATGAAGCTGGGGAAGTGCTATGACAGTGACATTGATTATTTCTTTAAAAGTCGAGCTGGGTGATGGCGTTGTTTGGCGGGTTTGAAATTCTGTATATCTTCAAGAACCGAAGCTGCGACATGAGATGTAGTTAAAGTCGACCACTCATCATCGACAATGATGCTGTAAGCAGGCACGGAAAGCACGCCGAACTGGAGTCAGACGGCGTGTGAGGTGCCACATGAGGTCCACCGTGCCTGGTGCTTATCGGTGACATTTTGTGGCGCACCGATGTATCCACCAGAGTTCCAACCAATTGGGTCAGAGAGTCGGTCCGTGACATCACCTTAAACGGTTTGGGCTCGGCTCGGCCAGCAAGGTGCCCCGGCGCCACCCATTTCATTATCTCCGGCAAATTTTTGGGGGAAGAAATGGAAGGGACCAGAGTCGGAGCGCGCACCCGATTTCGCAGTCATGACGAGGCGACTCTCCCGGTCTAGCGAACGGGGTAAGGCTAATTAATTCTCACCCTGCCTCTTCTTCCCACATCGTGAAAGCTGGTACCTTTTCCTCACCCCCTCATCCGTCAAATCGCCCGTCATTTTCCACTTTGGCCAACCTCTTACCGCACCACATTTCTGCCGAACGGATGACCGCAGCATCTCTCCCAAGCTCCGACTTCCCCGACGATGCAAGCTGGTCCGCAATGACTACCATCCACCAGGCCACCCGAGGCCAGGACCACGACAGATTTGATCCCGATGACTCTTTCCCAATGGCGCGAATAGCTCAGCCCCCGACCAACGGCAGCGGAGGAAGCGACGATGATATTACAGCGCCGCAAAAGATGATCTCGGCCATGTCGGGTAGTCTTTTGACATCGCTTCTCGGTAAGCTAGCTAAAGCGCGAAACTGGATTTGAGCTTCCATACGCTGACACGCATCTGCAGTGACGCCCCTCGACGTTGTCCGAATCCGATGGCAGTCGCAAAATGTCACCCCGCCGACGGTAGACTTTTCACGGCTGGCTATGACCACCGACACCCTCAAGACTTTCAACACATCGAACCTCGGAGTCACAGCTTGCTGCCGTGAGGTATTCTTCATGAACAACAACTCCGAACTATGTCTCGCGATGCCGAGAGCGGCAGAAGGCGCGGGAGCTTCTGCTGCTGCTGCATGCTCTGTCGAGGAGGTTGAGCGCAAGACAATCAGCTCTACCATGGACGGTCTGAAGAAGATTGCGCGAAATGAAGGATTCACCAGCCTATGGAGGGGTTTGTCTCCCACATTGCTAATGACGATCCCGGGCAACATCATCTACTTTACTGGCTACGACTGGATGAGATACAATAGAAAGAGCCCAATCGCGCAAAGGCTCAACGACGATACCGCTCCGTTGGTTGCCGGTTCCGCAGCTCGCGTTCTGGCCGCAGCTGCCGTCAGCCCGATCGAGCTCTTCCGTACAAGAATGCAAGCCTCGACAGGCAACTCTACGACCGGCCATCTCGCAAACACGTTCCGCGACATCAAGGATATGGTCCACAGCAGCGGATATACTTCGCTATGGAGGGGCCTGACCTTGACACTGTGGAGGGATGTGCCCTTCTCAGGTCTGTACTGGTGGGGATACGAGACGATCCGGGGTAGATTGACAGATTTCCGAGAGACCCGCCGCGGCCGGACTTTGGATACTAGAGGATCACGAACTCAGTCGCGGCGCAGGTCTCAGAGCCACGAAAACCACACGGAAACCATGACGGACAGCTTCATTGCTGGTGCCGTCTCGGGCGGGTTCGCATCGATAGTCACCATGCCGTTCGACGTGGGCAAGACAAGGACGCAAGTGTATCGCGAAGCGCCCCGTCAAGCGGGCGAAGCCAACGCGGCCAAGGCCGCTGCGGCTGAACAGGGCTCCATGGTGCGTTTGCTCTGGCATATCTTCACGACGGAGGGCATCGGCGGTCTGTGGAAAGGATGGATCCCCAGAACTCTCAAGGTGGCTCCGGCGTGCGCCATCATGATCAGCAGTTACGAAGTCGGAAAGCGGGTATTCAGGGGCGTCAACGAGAAGTCTAGGAGGGACGCAGACTAATATTGGAGCATCATCACTACTCATTCCATTCCTAGCATTATTGGGCGTTCAGCGGGCTGCTATCTATTGACGACGGGAAGGAAAAGAACCCAGGCCTGGAGTTTGCATGCCGAGCGGCATACGTCGCGGTTGGTTTAGACATTGGGGAAAGCAAAAAATCGTGTAATTCTAGTTGAAGTGTAATGATACCTCGTCCACAAAGTGGTTTTACTTCATGTCATACTTCAGTCATGGCTGATCCCAGCCTTGTGTGGAAGGTATGCATTGCCCAATAATGGACCAGTATTAACCCTGAGGTGAGATAAGGTAAGGTAAGGTACTTAAGGTACCTAAGCCAGACAGATATCTTGATGAAGTCACCACTTCGTACCAAATAGCCGACGGGAGCTCTCAGGGGCGATTGGAACCGCTAAGCAGCCGGGGCCGCTGCAGGGCTGCAGCTCCCAGGCAGCTCCCCGCCCCCTACCAGCCACTAAAAGGCTTCAGGACGCGCCAGAACAGCGGGTCAATCAACTCGCGTTAATGACTTTTTCCAGTTGGTAGCGCGTCACCACGCGACGTTCCGCAAACTGAGTGTTCGAGCTTTAAGGCCAATGGAGGGCTAAGGGAAATCTCATTCTTGACTACACTCCATACTCCGTCTCTCTTCTTCCCCCACTCCAAACCTCTTTCTTAGCCCATTGTATTACATCTTTTTAACGTGAACAAGACCGACCCAAATCTGAATTCTGTACCAGCTCAATGACGAATTGAGAATTCTTGTCAGGTCCAACTCTCCATTACAATTAGTCCTCTACGCCTCTCCAGGTTAGCAACCTACGCCGTCCTACGTCCGCGGCCAGGTCAACGGCCTGCCAACGTCATCGTCTCCCTCTCGTATAGCCTTCCCTCTCCACACGTCAACATGTCCACACTCAAGCGTAAGGCCGGCACGCTGTCCGCCTCCGACAGCAAGAAGCCCAAGCAAGATGGGAGCATCATGTCCTTCTTTGGGGCCCCGAAGCCGGCGGCCGGCAACAAGGGGGCCGGTGCTGCGGCCGCTCCCGAGGCGCCTGCGGTCAAGTTTGACAAGGCCAAGTGGGTTGCCGGACTGACGGCCGAGCAGAAGGAGCTGCTGCAGCTCGAAATCAGCTCGCTGCACGAGAGCTGGCTCGCCCTTCTCAAGGACGAGGTCACCAGCAAGGAGTTTCTGGACCTCAAGCGCTTCCTCAACAGGGAGTCGGATGCCGGGAAGAAGTGGTTCCCCCCAAAGGAGGACGTGTACTCTTGGTATGTCCCAAATCTGATCCAAGCATCGTGAACCCTCAGCAACAGTCATCCTTTTCTAACCGTAAGCTTCTACCAGGTCCCGTCACACCCCTTTCAACACAGTCAAGGTCGTTATCCTCGGCCAAGACCCCTACCACAACGTAAACCAGGCCCACGGCCTCGCCTTCTCCGTCCGCCCGCCCACTCCGGCCCCGCCATCACTCAAGAACATGTACATCGCCCTGAAGAAGGACTACCCTTCCTTCTCCCCGCCCCCCAACAAGGGCGGCCTCCTGACCCCTTGGGCCGACCGCGGCGTCCTCCTCCTCAACACGTGCCTGACGGTGCGGGCCCACGAGGCGAACTCCCACGCCAACCGCGGCTGGGAGCGCTTCACGCAAAAGGTCATCGACCTCGTCGCCGCCAAGCGCTCGCGCGGCGTCGTCTTCATGGCGTGGGGCACACCCGCGGGCAAGCGTGTCGTCAAGGTCGACGCCAAGAAGCATCTTGTCCTCAAGAGCGTGCACCCGAGCCCGCTCAGCGCGTCGAGGGGGTTTTTCGACTGCGGGCACTTTAAAAAGGCAAACGAGTGGCTCGTTACCCGGTACGGCGCTGGCGCCGAGATTGATTGGGACCTGAGCGGGACGACGAAGAAGGTCGAGGCCAAGGTTGTTGCCCCGCCGGAGACCAAAGTCACCAAGACGATCGACGTTGACGAGGACGAAGAGGCCGAGATGGCCATGGCTGCGGCTGCGGCTGAGGCTGAGAAGGAGAATGAGAAGGCCAAGGATTCGCCCAAGGATGATACCGAAGAAGAGGAGTAATGTTAAGAAATTACGATGAAAAAGAAACGGCACGGGGATGACGGGCTACGTTACGGGCAAGGCGGGCGTTTGGTAAATTCGCGGTTTGGGATGAAAACAAGAAAAGCGCCGCTTGCCTTTCGAGCCTATCTTCTAGGAAAAGGGTTTGAACGATTTGACGACACTTTGTACACCAGGGTACTAGATGATACAGCCTGATACAGGTACATGAAAGACCCACACTTTAGATACGAACATGCTGGGTCAGATGATGGAATTAGCTACTCGGGATTTCTTACTGCAACAGATATTAATGCAGACGATGGAAAATATTTGAGCCCCTTCTCAAGCGCGCATGCGGTTCTTTTAGAGCTGTGAGAACATGAGTGGTCCCTTGGAAAGGCATCCGTTGAAACCAATCGGAATCTCGGAGGCTCTCATGCTGCCGACGAGCTTTCGCCAGAATCCATGTGATTACTGGCACCACGTGCTGACTTGGGTCTCTTGGAATTGAAGGCTTTCGTAGCCCGAAGCTCGAGCATGGAAGTAATGTGGACTTGGCTCCCGTTCCAGTCCAACGCGGAACACGATAAATGTACGACTGGCATTAAGCTATCTAGGTTCGTTTGGCCTGACGCCTCGAAGCTGTACAAGAAATTAAGAGAACGTGTTTCCGTACGGAAACATGAAAACTTGTCAGGAAAACATGTAGTCAAGCACAAAAGTACACAACGAAACACAGAGAAAGTATGAAAACATGCTAGAAATCATGAGAATACCCTAGAGAAGATTTTCATACTCAAGAAAGAAGTAAAGAAAACGAGTTTCGGTACGAAAACATGACAACACGCCAAGAAAACATGTGTTTTCGTACAGAAACGTGAGAACACAGCGAGGAAACATGCCTCGAAGTATCCAAAACATAGCAAAGAAACATGAGAACATGCAACAAAGCATAAAAACATGTTGAAAAATATCGAAACACCCAAGGAAACAGCCAACAAAACATGAAAACATATTTCAAAAACCGTGTTTTAGTACAGAAACATGGCTCATGGGAAGAAAACATGCAGTAAAGCAGAAAAGCATACTTGAAAACATAAAAACACGCAAGAAAACAGCCAAGGAAACATGGAAACGTCCAAAGACGACAAGGCAACAAGAAAACATGCTAGCAACACAAAAGGTGCAAATTACGCACTCTTAACCGCACGATCAATTGCGGAACAGTCAAAAGGTCGATTTGATACCGCCAAGTTCCGTCTTCACAAACTACTCAATCCCTCTCAGCTTTTTCTTGAATGAAAATCAAATCGAGTAGTGAAGCACTACGACCTAAGTTTTTGCTGCACATGGCCCTTTTGGACCAATTCACAGTTAATGGCGGGTTCTTCATCACTGAAAGAAGGTCATTTGAACACTCGAAATTGGTTCAGATCCAGGCTCAAAGGCCCTCTTTGTTGTGGCTTATATACGATATTTAAATGTACAGTGAATTGCAAAAAGATATGTCCAAGAGAAAATGGCCTAGAAGACCAGGAGTGACAGCGAAGCACCGAGCTCTGTGGTAGCCCAAAGCCCCAAGCGTCGTCAAGCCTTCGATGGTCTCTCCCAGCCGTCAGGGTTCGAACTCCAAAGATTGGCCGTCCTACCCCCTTAAGCCAGAAGCTCGACAGCGTCGAAGCTGACACCAGGGCTGAGGTACTTCTCGCCAGAGCTGCCGCTGATGATGTTGATGGTGAGGATCTGCCACTCGCTCGTGCTCTGGATCCAAGCGGACTGCGGCACGGCGAAGGTGAGCTTGACGTTGTTGCCGCGGTACGTGCCGACGGTCAGCGAGCGTGTGCTGGCCTGGTTGGTGGCCGCGGGGAGGGCCGAGGCCCACGAGTTGACGTTGATGGCCGGGCGGCCGCCGATGTAGCCCTCCGTGATGCCGATGCGGACGGTGTGGCCGGCGGCGAGCTGGGCGGTGGTGAGCTTGAAGTAGATGAGATAGCCGCTGTTGACCTCCTTCCACATGTAACCGGGGAAGCGGTTGGCGCTGTGGGTGCCGACGATGAAGTTGCCGGCGTTCCAGGTGGAGATGCGGGTGTCGGAGGGATGCATGTAAGTGGGCTTCATGGGGGTGTCCTCGAAGTTCAAAAAGCCCTTGGGGGTTCCATCTATGCCACAAGTCAGCTTTTGTGTTCTTCATGTCCTCAAAGATTGTACAGGATATCTACTAACCCCACTCGCCGATACGCCAAATGACAGCATCATCCTGAGGATCAACACAGGTGATGGTGTTGACGGCAGTGCCGGCGCCAGCCTTGATGGTGACGGAGGAGGTGGCGACCTCAAGCTCGTCCTTGTAGACGGTCAGGGTGTAGGTTCCAGGGATGATCTTGGTGATGGACCAGGCGCCACCGGAGCCGGCAGTGCCCCAATACTGGGCGGCGGAGTTGGACAGCCCGACGACGTATGTCTTGCCGGACTTCATGTTGGAGAGGCCGACACCGGAAGCGTAGCCGCGACCGGAGGCAGGCACCCAGCCATCGAGCTAGATTTGAGTTAGATTGAGTATGCTACGCGATTGTTGGATAGGGGAGTTCCTGCTTACGCCGAGGTCATCGAACCAGGACCAGTCGGCCTTGCGGGCGAAGAGGTTGCTGTTGGGGTCCTCGCCTGCGGTGAAAGCCAGGACAGAGGGGCCTTGGAGACCGGTGCGCATGGGGTCGGTGTGGCCCATGTTGTAGTAGTAGATGTCGTACAAGTCCTCGCCAGTCGGGTCCGCGCGACGAACGAGAGAGCGGAAGAAGGGACCGCCGCTCGCCTTTTCGTGGTTGCTTCTGATCATGAACAGACCGACGCCGGTCTTCTTGCGGCCAACGTAGTCGACTACTTGGGATCAGTATTATTCCACAGAAGTCGAATAGGGGAAGAACGCATACAGTCCATGACTCTGCAAGTTGTCAGTAAAGTCCCTTTGAGGAGGGGGTGTTCTTGTAACGTACCGGCCGTAGTTGGAGCCTTGGTAGTGCTTGCTCTTGGTCAAGCCGGCGCTGTTGACGTTGATATCCTGGGCCTCGATGATGGTGCTGCTGGCATCATAGAAGTCCTTTTTCGTAGTTTGTCAGCTGGCTATCATGAGAGATCGATCGATTGGAAAGCACATACACTCTCTGTAGAGTCATGGGAGAAGATTCCACCCGGGATGCGAACAATGTAGCGCATGGCCGAGACAGAGTCGTCTGCCTTGTTCGTGAAGAGGTAGACATTGTTGTTTCCGTAGCGGACAAAGATCCAGTGCTTGAGAGTCTGTAGATGTTTGTCAGGATATGACGCTTCGAGGTTATAGTGGGAAGGGCCCGAAAGGGATATGAGGAGGGAAGACGTACGCCGTGGACGACCGAGACCTTGATGACGTTGCTGTAGCTCGTGATGCTGACCGTGCTGGTACCGAGCCCTTCTCTCATGTTAGTCCTGTTCAATTCCTTTAGAACAAGGCGAATTTCGCAAACCTACCTGATTCGACATGGGTGTTCTTGCCGCCCCAGCCATTGTACTCGACGCCCTTGTAGTTGAGCGAGGAGATATCACCGCAGCACTTGGTCACCTTGATGACGAGGTCAGAGCCGCTGTCAATAACATACTCGGAGCCATTGTCCGTCCAGCCAAAGGCCGCCAAGACGACCGCTGGTAGGAAGAACAGCGAGCACAGGAGTGAAAGGAACAACATGGTTGCTGTTGATCACCCCGTGTTACGGAAAACTCGCAGCAGCAGTGCGAGTCTTGGCAGTAAAAAAAGGAGCGACAGAGGGAAACGGAGAGGACGGCAGATGCGTAGCTTCCTCTCCTCTTCCCTGAGAGGGCGGGAAATCTGGGAGCCCATCGTATTATATTGGCAAACCTCAAGCCCGCCCTGCCTGTCATCCTTCTCCTTTCTTTCCGCTCCGCTCCCAAGAACCAAAGCCCACACGGTAAACCAGCCCAAAAGGAACTTAGACATTCCCGTCCCGGCCGACAAGACGTGCTGCGGAAATGCCCTTGAGTCCTTGACAAACCTAAACCCCCTCTCAAGCAGCAAGCTTAATCACTTGAAGGAACCTCTATGGTGGGAATAGATTGAGGGTTGCGATGTAAGCGGAGGAGGGCGCGTGCTCAAGCTGGTCCTCTCCCATGCCGTCCATCCAAGACCATGGGCCCCTCGGCGCTCATGGCCCTACCGGGCGCTTCGTCCGTGATCCTTGGGTCCCACTCCTTATATCCGGGCATTGAACCCCCCGGCCGGACAGGAATCCTCCGGTTGGGAACTTGGGAAGAGAAAAAGGTTCTTCTTTTCTGCCCACCGTCCACGTAAGTCCCCTCCCACGTGCGGCGTGCTTCCTAATCGTCTGCCCTTTTTGCATCACCGGGCTGACAATTTGGTAGTTCGTTCGAAGGGGTTGAATCGTGGAACAATATCGGCCGGGGGATTCCACTGGGCAGTTCCCACGACCCACGGGCTGGTGCCACTGGTGGAAATACGCGTGAAAGTACCGCTGAGAAAACCCCCCGCCATCGGAATAGTCGGTCCTCTCAGGACCCTTGTTGACTCGCTCGAGGTGACATTCGCGATATTGCTTTATTGGCATGGCCTTTTCCATAGCCCGCACCGCAATCTTCTTTGGCTTCGCGCTTTTTTGCACCGCCTTACGATAGTCGTTGGCTCATGGGCACAACATACATGGGAGCTAGAACATGCCATTGACTGCATCGGGCTGCATGTTGCATTCACATGCCGATCCCAAAGGCTTGACATGGAGCTGCCGGCTTTCATGCCCTCGCTGACAGGCGCCCTCTCGCGGCATACGCTGTTGATCGCATTGGCAGTCAGCAACCTGGTTGACAGGGATGCCATACGCGCTTGCTTCGCAATACTGCATTCAACCTCTTGCTGAATTGCTGCCACAACCCATCAGCTCCTATCCCCTACCAAAGACAAGGAAAGGACGGCCTGGTTACCAAATATCGTACCCGTCTGATCAATAAGCAGTTGACACTGCTTGGGAGAGCCGGAGCTGCCCGTCAGAGAAATGCAAAGTCAGAAAATACCTTTAAGAGAGCACCGAAAACGAGAGGGTTCCGTGTACGATACTGTAAGAGGAAAGTCCGGATCGGCGCAAGGATCTCGGTGGGCCTCTAACGACTCACGAGGAACACATGGTGACATGGTAAATGGCGCCCGCTCCGCTATCCTGCTTCCAAGTCCCGAAAGGAGAACCAAGAGATGGGCAGGTCATTGCGGCAATTCTTGTATGCTGCCCACAAAACCTACATGGCTATTATATGGGGTTTCGCTAGATCCGTTTTACCCAGTCTTTAAACTCGGTATAACAGAACGCTCACTATTGACGTGCCCTTGACAAAATAAGGTACATTTAGAAGACGGCTTTTGTTCTGGTATGTCTGGGGTTACGTACTCAATGCAAATCAGTCCCTCCAATTTTCAAGATGCTGATATCAACATACCAAATGATAAGACGAAGTCATGCACATTTCCCAATAAGATGAACTTCCACAGAAAAACCAATTGCGCCATAACAGTCTTGCCCTTGCCAATCAATAGACAACCCTTCATAATTATACCATGATGCACAACCTGCTGGAATAGGCAAGGCCCGTGTTTCAAAGCAAACCCCCGGCCCCCAAAGACGCTCTGGAGCGCCCGCTCCGCGAGCGCGGAATCAAGCAATCTAGGTCCCTACATTTATTCAGATAAAGTCGTGGACTGCAGTGTCTCCAATAAGACTCGCAAAGTGAGCATGTAGTAAATGGGAGCAAAGTGACGGGAGAGCCAAGGGCCCGGACATTCGCTCAAGCACCGGCGCCCCTCTTTCCGCCCCGACCAGTCCCGGAAGCCCGCCCGCCGCCTTTAGTACCGATCCCACCGGCCCCGCACCTCCGCCAACAATATCTTCCGGAATACCGCAGTCGGCTTGGCCTGTGCGCGAAAGACTATTACCAACGACGACTTGACTTACATTGTTAAGAAAGACAGGCATCCCCTCCTGGGAGCCTGACACATAGTCGAGGGTGCGCTGCTACCGGGAGGTCTGATAAGCGATGTAGGGCCTTGAAGCGCTCATACCTTGGAACCAGTCTCGGCACTGCCTTGTCGTCACGATGTACAGTACAGAGCTCGCCAGCTTTTCGAAACCATACACTTGCGGTCTTGTCAGACCGATAAAGGCCACGCGTTGGTAGTATTACCCAGGCCTCGGTATAGTTCGCCCATCGAAAGTCTCATTCATTCATGAAATTTGTACATGCCTAGTGCACAAAAGATACACCCCAAGTCTATCCATCGATCGGACACCTGTACTCCCTCGCATGAGTCTCCGCCCGCGTTTTCCCCTCAACCTCCGGCCGGGACTGGTAGGCGTCTAGGCAGCTCTGGTGATAGATATGCCTGCAAGCCAGAACGACCAACGGTCCCAGCGGCTGCTCTCTCAGTTTCGCCACAACTTCGCTCTGTAACTCTGCGCCTTCTTCAGGCGCCGCCTCGTCCGCCTCTACATGGGAGTCTGATGCCACAGGCGCTGCCTTACCCTTCCCTTTAGAGTCTGATACGGCCTGCGATACGTCGCTGCCGCTTCCTGTCTTCCCCTTGTCTCCAGCAACAATCGAGGCTTTCTTTTCTGCTTTCCACTCTTCTTCCCGCGCTTGCTTCTCCTCCCAAGCCTCAAAGACATTTCCCGAAACACCGGGGCCCCAGATCCGGCGACCGCAAGCTTCACAAGTCGAGCCCCTAGGTCGCCAACCTCGTTGACGAAGTTCTACAGCTTGCTTAACATTTACAAACAGGCTTCGCTCAAGAAGTCGGTTGGAAAGCCGAAGTATTGATTCTTCGTAGGCATAGGCTGAGAAGATCGATGCCAGGACAGAGCGCAAATCAGCGAGGTTTGGTGACGAGGCCGCGGCTCGAGTGAGGAAAGCTCGTAGGATGCGGAGGAATGACAAATTGCTCCCGGCATTTGTAAGAAGTCTCCCCCCACCTTGACCTCCTGCTGGGCTAGAAGTTGTTGTCAGGAGAGCCGTAAAGGTGTGTTGGACGAGGGATCGCAAAAGAGCCAAAAGCTTATCCTTATCAAGATCATCAAATCCATCGTGAGTGTCATCAGAAAGAGTGCCGTTCTCAGTGGTTCCTGTAGTCTCAATGGTGGACGATACCTGCCGGGTTGTCTGCACAGCTGCGTCGATCAGGTTGAGCCAAAGCTCTTCATCAGGTGATAAGACCTCTGAAGTTGATGACTTCGTCTTCTTTTGAACGCCATTCGCTTTTCTCGACGACTTGGTCTGACCTTGACAAAGCCAGATGCCCACATGTACATACTTCTGTAGTGCCCGCAATATTTCTTCGGCCCCTGACTGCAAGTTTCCAGCTTTGTCGTTGTTTTGAGCGCCTGTCAGGACACCTTGCAAGGCAGACTCGAGCGTACCAAGGTGCTTGACAAGTCTGTCCATAGCATCCTTGATCTGCCCCTCTCGAGCCATTAGCACCACGGCAGCGTCGATGACACCAGTCTCTTCCATAGTTGGAAGCAGGGCATCAAGTCGGAGGTTAACAGATTGAACCAAGCCAATATAGTCAGACACATGAGCTGGGTCAAATCTGCACATGAGTTGCACGTAGCGTTCAATCAGAGCTCGGTCTGGGTTTGCTGGGGATTCCCCGTCGCGCTTTTCTGGTTCGAGCAACGTTCGGAGGTAGAAGAATTGCAGCCCCAACGAATCTTCGGCAGAATCCAAAACATGCTGGTGGATGTCTGCGGGCTGCCCTGATAGAGATTTCGCCGCTTCGACAGGATTGGTCTTAATAAGCGCCCTGGCGTTGTTCCTGATTGCGTCAAGGACTTCTTGAACCTGGCGGCGGTTCAGGCCACTCTGTGGCCGTAGACAATCCCCGATACATTCAAAGACGGCGTCCCGGTCAGCGGGGTCTTCGAAATAAGTCTGGACAAGCTTGCCATACTGTTTATCAACCTTGTATTGCCTCTTCAAAATCCGGTAGAAACCGGCCTTCTTGAACATCGGTATGAGCGTGTTCGCGTCGGGCGGTTGATAAATCGATAGGAGGTACTCGGCGCTGAGCTGTGCATCTTCGGCAAGATCTGATCCGGGGTAGTTGCACAGTCCGGTTAGAACCTTCGTAAGTGTAGAACCCGGGAAGAGCAAGTATTGAGGGAACTTTGGCAGGTTCCGAGCGATGAACATATCGAGATAGATCGTGTCCTCGGCTGCGAAGTCCGCCGGATTCATAATCTCCAGAAGTATGGATACGATGTATTGACGGTCGACCGTACGGCCAAAGATCTGCTCTTCAGGCACGTCGCCCCTGATGCCACCGTTAACTTGCTTGTCCGGCGAATCGTTCAAAAACGAATCCTCAAAGGCCTCGTTCACCGCACTCAAGAAACTCGGGGCATCAAACTTCAGTATCAGTCTGAGATAGGGAAATGACGGCTCTGTATGCTGGTCTGGCCGTGTAAGGAAGCGTCGGTCGCTGCCTTTGGGCCATGTGACACTGTTCCCTGAGAATAGAAACCAGTAAATCTCAGCCTTAGCTTTCGAGGCAGTGGCATCGTCCATAATCTCGCCGGTAGGATATACTCTGCCAGTCAATGTGTAGGAGAGATAGGGGAACATCTTCAACGCGTTCACGCCGTATATCTCATCCTCCATGTTTCCGGAAGACAT